ATCCCAACCTGCAGCTGCACCTTGCTCTTGGGCACAGGAGCTCCCTTGGCCTTTGCCAAGCAGGATTAATGTCAAGTGGCAGAGCCGGGCCTGGATCCTGGAGGCCTCGTGCCAGGGGATTAATTTGGTTTATTTTGCTGGTTTGCGGTGATTTTTCAGGGGTTGTTTCTGCCATGGATCAAGTCCCAGTTCTCCCGAGTGGTTCTGAGCATGCAGAGGACCCTCGAGGTCCTGTCCTCCTTTTCCTGCACATCCTGGGGCTGGATGGAGGCACGGAGCTTGCAGAGCTCTTGTTTTGGAGGAACCCAGCTCAAAACCTGGCTGGAGGAGCTGGGGCAGCTCCGACACCTCACCCCAGGCTGTGGTTTAACAAAGCTGAGTTTAATCCCCTCCTTGCCTGCTGGGTTCTTGCTTTCTCCAGCCTGGGAAACCCTCGCAGCTCCAGCTGACCTTTCCCAACAAAGCCCCTTTGTTAGGCCAAGCTCAGGCCTGCGGGGCGCCTTTATCTTCCCTTCTTATTACTCTTGATTTTTATTGATGCCATCACCAGCAGCCCTCAGAGGAGCCGCCTGGACTTTGTTTGGAGGGTGATTAAGAACAAACTGATCCTGGAAAGCCGAGGCAAAACCTTGAGCAAGAGGAAACTTGGCAGCGGGAAGAGCGCGCCGGCGGCAGCGTGAGCGGAGTCCCCAAACGCCAGGGAGGAACCTCCGTGCCCATGGGGTGCTGGGGCTGAGCTTTAGGAAGGGTGGGTGGAAACAACAGAGGGGTTTTCCCTCAGCTGGGGCTGTTTTGGGGAGGGTTTTCCTGCCACCTGTCCTTTCCCCACGGGCAATCCCAGCAGAGGGCAGCAGGAGATGCCCTCGGCACCCTTCGCTCTCCCAGGGGTGCTGCTCCAGAGCACCCAGGGCTCAGCCAGGGCAGGGGGACGCCTGTCCCCTCCTGGTCCCCACCTTGGGACATCTGCTAAAAACTCCCAGCTGTTCTGGCTTGAAATAAGTGGTTTTGGGGCTGAAGGAGTTGGAACTTATTAGAGTTGAGTTGGGACTTATTAAAAGCTAAGTTGGGACTCACTAAAGCTGTTGGGATTTATTAAAGAAGCATTTTTTGGGCTGTAGGAGTTGGGACTTATTAAAGTTGGGAGTCATTAAAGAGGCATTTGGGGGCTGTGGGAGGTGTTTAGTGGGAACAGAAGCACCTTTGGATCTCCTCTTGCCCTCCCTGCTCTCTGGACATCTCCGGCCCTTCGCCTCGTCAATGCCCAGGGTGTTTTTGGGCAGCTCTCACCTTCCCATGAATGATGGTGTTGCCATGCACACACTGGGGTCTCTGTGCACTGTGGGGACCAGGCAGGGCACTGGTGGCACTGGCAGCACTGGGGGGTGCCCAGCCTGACCCCCAGATCCCCGTGAACTGAGCCAGGGAGCCAAACACAAATTCCAGGAGGTGCTGCTCAGGCAGAGGCCGTGTTCCTGGCCGGGGTGACAACAGGAAGGGTGGCTGTTGTCCCTTGGTGGCCTGGGAGCTGTTTCCTGGCTCCTAACGAGGGATCTCATGGCACAACAGGCTGGGAAGAGGCTGAGTAGGAGGAGGAAGGCTCTGGAGGAGGTGGGTGCTGGCACAGCCTGTGCTGTGACTAATGCCAACACCCAGGCCGGGTTCTCCTCCTGGGGCACAGCTCCCTCCTCTCCAGTGACATTTCAACCCTGGAAATGCTCTGGAAATGTCAGTATTTGCAGGAATAAAGTTTCCTGGTGTGGAGCCTTGAGCTCTGTTCTGGGTTCTTTGTTCTGTGTTCTTTATTCTGAGTTCTGGGCTCTGTTCTGTGTTTTGGGTTCTGTTCTGTGTTCTCAGTTCTCTCCTCTGGCTCAGCTCCTTCGTGGTGCTCCTGAGCTGCTCTCTGCTTGCTCGGGGCTCTCCAGAGCAGCCCTGGAATTCCTCCTGCAGCAGGGAACTGCTCCCTGGGCTGCTGGGATTTCCCAGCTGGGATTCAAGCCCCCTGTGAGGCTTTTCTCCCTCTCTGGGATTTCCTGGGTTGTTTTCTCCTCACCTTCCAGTGAGCTGGGCTGAGCTTCCAGGTGAAACCAGGCTCTGCTCTCCAGACCTGAGGATTCAAGCAAAGCATCCAGGGACACAAAATAGCTGGAGCTGGGAGCAGGGTGGAAGGGATGTGTCCCAGATGAGGAGCTCTGTCCCTGCTCCCTCATGGATTGAGCTGGGCCTCACCCTCTGCAAGGAGCAGAAACAAAGAAGCTCCTGCATCCCACAGAAAAATCCTTAACTGGGTCATTTCTACTGAATTTTGCTTCTTCTCATGGCCCTGGTTCCTTCCCCTGTCCTGAAAACTTGGGGTTCAGGGAATTTAAATTATCTAGTGGAGATCTTTCTTAATTAGACTTAAATAGACCTGTAAGGCCTTTGATGTATTAAAAATGTGAAGTTTCCAGACTGTTGCAACTTGTGGAAATGATTTGGCTTGTCCTCCCTCCAGAAAAAAAGAAAAGAATCCATTTTTTAAAGCTGAGCAGTGATTACCTGAGGATGGAAAAGGTACTCAGGAGTGAGGAATTATCTGTGAAATCTTCTTAAGAGCAGAGCAGCTGCTCGTGGGCACGTTCAGGGAATAACCCTTAATTAGAGCAAAACCACGCAGGAATGGTAATGAGGTGCCTTTGGAGTGGTTTTACCTGGTGAGAAACACTTAAATTAGGGTAAAAAGCTGGTAATAAAATGTAATTCACCTTTTAATATCCCAAACAATGGTGGAGCTGTGTGGTTTAGGGAGGGAAATGGAATGGAATGGAAACCCCTGTTTTAGGGAGAAGCAGGAAAACCAGCACAGCACTGCAGGTAAGTCAGTGTGAACACACAGGTTTGTACCTGGCCTTGCTGTTTCTGCTGAAATAAAGGTGGATTTTTCCATGAAAAGCCAGTTTCTGCTCAGGGAGTGAGTGGGGCACTGCTGCCTCCCAGCCTTCCAATCTAATTAAAAATTAGTCTGAAGAAGCTGGAATGTTAAAGAAGTAGTAATAATAAATTCTCCATTGGTTTTCAAGTGCTGCTGTTCCCATTCCTGGACAGGTGAGGACAGGTGGGAGGCCCTCAGTCCTTTCCCAGCCCTGCCCCTGGGCCCTGCCCTGGCCAGGTGAGGTCACGGGGTTTGCTGGATGCCAAAATCCAGTCTGGATTAAATTCACCTCCCTGCCTGGATCAAATCCTCAGGGCCAGGGAAGCTGGGGGGGGAAGGAGCTCTGGGCTCTGCTCCTGCTGGGCTCAGCTGCACCTGCCCTGCTTTGGGGTCCCACTGACCCCGAATCCCCCTGGCAGTGCCCGAGCTGGGCTCAGGGCTGGGCCCTGGATGGTTTTTGTGCTGACACAGAGCTGGAGGTGCAGGAGCCTCTGATTCATCCCGGGAGGGCTCACACCCAGCCCGGGCTCCTTCCCCTGCTGGTGATCACCTGGAGGGACTGGGGGGGCTGGGCACAGCTGGTGGGGGGTGGTGCTCCCCTGTTCCCACTGGGGCTCCCCCATCCCTGCTCTGGAGTGGGGATGGATGGGGTTCAGAGCTCCAGAATCAGGGGAATGGCCAAGATTCCCACTTTGTAGGGGCTGAATGCACCCTTTGGGTGCATCCTGAGGGTCCTGGGGTGCAGGGGAAGCACACTGGGGGTGCAGGTTTTGGGGGGCTGCCCTGCCCCAGCCCCTGAGAGGGCATCTCTGGGATTTGCTTTAATCTCCCCAGGGCTGTGTTTTTTCCCATCTCCTCATGGGAACATGGCCAAATATCCCTCAAAAAGGGAAACTGAGGTGTGGGGGGGTCCTCAGCCCACCCCTGAGGACACTTGGGGGGGTTGCAGGGTTTAATTTCCTGCCCTGCTGCTGACCCAAAGGGCTCTTGTACCTCCCTTCCTCCTCCTGCTTGTCCCCAACCCCTTCTGGGGGCAGCTGGGGGAGTGAAGGTGCCGCTCCCAGGCTCAGCTGGGAGTGCAGGTCCAGGGTGTCAAAATCCAGGTGAGGCTGCCCATACCCCCGGCCAAGGCTGCAGGACCCTCCGGGTTGGGGGAGCTCCCAGGGGAGAGTCTCCCCGTCCCTGGGGGTCCCCGGTGGGAACCTCCCCTTGGCAGCAGGAGGAGGGGCTGGATCTGGGGAGTGGGGCCGGGGTGGGTGTCCCTGTCCTGGTGTCCTGTCCCTGTGACAGTGTCCCTGTCCTGTGACAGTGTCTCTGTCCTGGTGTCCCTGTCCTGGTGTCCCTCCGCCAGTGTCCCTGTCCTGGTGTCCCTGTCCCCGTGACAGTGTCCTTGTCCTGGTGTCCTGGTGTCCCTGTGCCCCTGTCCCAGTGTCCCTGTGCCAGTGTCCCGGTGTCCCTGTGCCGGTGTCCCTGTCCCAGTGTCCCTGTGCTGGTGTCCCAGTGTCCCTGTGCCGGTGTCCCGGTGTCCCTGTGCCGGTGTCCCTGTCCCTGTGCCGGGAGCTGCTCTGGCAGAGGGTTGTGGTAGAACTGGAAGAGCAGGGCCAGAGCAGAAGGTCAGGTGAAGGTGTGGGTTTGGCACAGCGGAGGGGCTGGGGAGTTGTGGGTCACTTTTTGAGGGCACCCGTGGAGCTGTCTGGGAGAACTGGTACGGCTGGAGTCAAACTGGCTGTGTGGGAAGGGTTGGAAGCGCTGGAAGGATGGCTCCTGCTCCTTCCAGCCCCGGGTGGACTCCCAGCTGCCCTGCACCTGCTGCTCTTCCCTGCTCCAGCACAGGCACCCACTTATCCTTCCCAGATTCATGTTTTCCCCTCCCAACCAACCAGCTCCACAGGAGCCAGGGTCTGAGCCTTTGCTATTTCCCTGACTCTCTGGGATGAGTTTGTGCCCAGCTCAATCTGTTTTCCTTCCTAAACTTTGAGACTTGAGCTGATTTGCACCCAGGAATTTTTTTTTGTTTGGTTTTTTTTTTTATTTTTTTAACTTTTCTTTATTTGCAATAAATAATAAACTATAATACAAAGATCTCAACACATAATCCAAAAAGTCTCATTCTTTTGGGAATAAAAAGGACTCCCAGCACCAGGAAAGGTGAAAGAGCATCTACGAGCAGCCCCTGGGCTGGGGGTAGCTGCACCCCCCTGCCCTAAGCAGTTGTTCCCCTTCCCCCGGGGCCCCCCAGGTGTTCCCATACCTGGGCCAGGTGAGGTCCTGCAGGTGCCCACTGTGGGGTGTGGGGCCCTGCCATGGTGCAGAGCTGCACCGGGAGGGCAGAGCTGGAGCCAAGGGTGCCAGGGCCTGGCTGAGGGGCTTTGTGGCTGTGGGGAAGCTGGGGAGGTTCTAGAGCTCATGCAGGGGTTCTTTACACACACAGAGAGCCCCCTGCCCCTGGCCTTCCACGGGGCCTGGATGGGAAGGTCTGGATGAAGAGGCAGCAGCTGCAGCTGGGTGTGGTGGTTGCCTGGCTTTGGGGCACACACGAGCCCACGGGTGGGCCTTCCTCCCCTCCCTCGGCTTGGCTTTGCCAGCTGCTCTTATGGCGGGGTCAGCTCCATGGACTTCTTCCTCTCCTCCCGCTGCTCCTCCCACTCCTCCTCGGACTCGTAGGTGCCCTTGATGATGGCCACCCTGTCAGACATGTTCATGCAGTAGGGGACCAGGATGTAGAAGTAGAGCAGGGAGGCCAAGCAAGCCCCAAGGATGGGCCCAACCCAGAACACCTGGAAAGCAACAGGGGCGTGGTGAGAGGAGCTCCTGGGGCTGCTGCTCCAGCTCTGCTCATGGCACCATCATCCATCCGTCCATCCATCCATCATCCATCCGTCCATCCATCCATCCATCCATCCATCCATCCGTCCATCCATCATCCATCCATCCATCCCTCCATCCATCCATCCATCCATCATCCATCCGTCCATCCATCCATCCATCCATCCATCCATCCGTCCATCCATCATCCATCCATCCATCCCTCCATCCATCCATCCATCCATCATCCATCCGTCCATCCATCCATCCATCCATCCATCCATCCGTCCATCCATCATCCATCCATCCATCCCTCCATCCATCCATCCATCCATCATCCATCCGTCCATCCATCCATCCATCCATCCATCCATCCGTCCATCCATCATCCATCCATCCATCCCTCCATCCATCCATCCATCCATCATCCATCCGTCCATCCATCCATCCATCCATCCATCCATCCGTCCATCCATCATCCATCCATCCATCCCTCCATCCATCCATCCATCCATCATCCATCCGTCCATCCATCCATCCATCCATCCATCCATCCGTCCATCCATCATCCATCCATCCATCCCTCCATCCATCCATCCATCCATCATCCATCCGTCCATCCATCCATCCATCCATCCATCCATCCGTCCATCCATCATCCATCCATCCATCCCTCCATCCATCCATCCATCCATCATCCATCCGTCCATCCATCCATCCATCCATCCATCCATCCGTCCATCCATCATCCATCCATCCATCCCTCCATCCATCCATCCATCCATCATCCATCCGTCCATCCATCCATCCATCCATCCATCCATCCGTCCATCCATCATCCATCCATCCATCCCTCCATCCATCCATCCATCCATCATCCATCCATCCATCCATCCATCCATCCCTGCTCCACATCTCCTGCCACACAGAGAGGAAAATACCTGTTCCAGAGACCTCCTGGGCTGAAACTCCCCCAGTCTGTGCTCAATGAGGGCCAAACCTGCTCTGTGAGTCTGGGGCTGAGCTTGCAGGAAGTGCTGGCTGAGAGGAAGGGCTAAGCTGGTCTCCTCTGTGGGCTTCCTTCCCCTCAGATGATGCACCAATGGTGCTCAGAGGGCACCACGGCTGATTTCTGTGCCTGGAAGTGTCCGAGGCTGGGTTGGATGGGGCTTGGAGCAACATGGGCTGGTGGAAGGTGCCCCTGCCCGTGGCATGGGGTGGGACTGGATGAGTTTTTAGGTTGTTCCCACCCAAGCTACCCTGGGATGGGCTCATTTCTGTCCCCTGGCTGGCTCTGTGCCCGGGGATTAACTGTTCCCGATGCATCAGGGGGCAAAACCTCCCTCCTTCTCCAGCCCCTTTTAATCCTTCCTGCCTGGGGTGGGCTCTGAACCCCCGCCCCTGCCATTCCCACAGCAGTCCCTGCCCTGTCCCCATGTGGTCCCCAGCAGTCCCTGTCCCCAGTGCCACCAACACCCACCCAGTGCGCGGGGCTGAACCTCCTGGTGACGACGGCGGGCCCGAAGGAGCGCGCAGGGTTCATGGAGCAGCCGGTGAAGTAAATCTGGAGGGGTGGAAAGAACCCTGGGTTAAGGAGCAGATAGGGGCCACCCTTTGGGAGCAGCGACTGAGTGACCCCTGATGGTGTCAGGGAGAGCTGGAGATGACCCCTCACCACAAAAGACCCCAAGATGTCCTGTGTTTGCTCCTCCAGAGCAGCTCGCTCAGGACCAGCTGCACGAGGGCCTTTTGGGAAGCTCTGTGCTCGCAGGACCCTCCCCCTGGACTCACCCCCACCAGGTGGCCCAGGGTGACCGAGAGGCCGATGGACAGCGCGGGGGAGCCGACGCCGCTGCGCCGGTTGTCCGTGGATGCGAAGATGCAGGCGGCCAGCTGGAAGGTGAGGATGATCTCCACCACCAGGGCCTGGCCTGGGGTTACGTTGGTGTTGAGCTGGAACCATGAGAGCCACAATAATTAACCCTCCCAGGGCTCGGCACTATCAGGAGGGCTCCTGGGTGCTTTGCCGGGAGGTTTGGGAGGGTGAAGTTGGAAGAGAAAACCCGCAGGGGCCCTGCCCAACCCCTGCTTGAGCTCCCTGTTCCTTCTCTGAAAGGAAAGAAATTATCTTTCTTTCTTTGCAATTCTCCAAGATCCGTCTCTCCCCCTAGCCTGTCCCTCCCCTGGGCTCTCCACATGTCTCTCCACTTCCCTGTCTCCACAACACTGAGTGCTTTCCCACCAAATCCCCTTTTTCCTGCATTTATTTGATCTTTGCAGGCTGTTGCACCCTGACTTCTGCCCTGCACTTTGTGGAGCACCTGCCCAGGAGGATGAGGAGCAGCTGGGATGGGATGGAGGGAGAAGGTTGGGATGAAGGTCATGGGCTGGGATGGCTTTTCTGTCCCAGGGACTCTGCACAAAACCCTGGGGACTCTCAGGGAAACTCGACCCCAGTGGACATGAAAAGGACAAAGTGACCCAACCCATCACGGATCATTTTTTATCTCAATCTGGCTTGTTTGGGATGTGGAACCTGTGGAATGAGAGGCATTGGAGCTCCTCATGCCAGTGACCAAACCCTCTGACACGTCTGTGCTGCCCCCAGGGGTCCAGGCCTGTCTGTGGCTGGAGCAGCAGCTCCACTGCTTTCATTGCAGATGTTCTCCAGCACTGCCCCGAGGGTTTCAGGCCGTGCTTCATTCCTGCTTATCTCCGAGGGTCCTGCTGTCCCCCCTCCTCCCCTGGGAGCAGCCCCTTGACACTGTCCTGCCCTTGCTCCTTCTCCAGCTCTTCCCCACCACTCTCCCCGCCCGTCTCTGTTCTCAGCTCCCCCAGTGCTCTGGTTCCAGTGGGCTCCTGCTCCTGCTGCCCATACTGGTCTGACTGGGCTCTGCTCCCTCCCTTCCCCTGCTGCTGGCACGGCTCCTGTCCCGCGCTAATCTCCAGGTGGAGAGGCTGCACTGCGCACATCTCAGTGGTGCGGGTGACTCACGGGGCCCTCAGGACAGAGGAAGCCCTCATTAAAGGAGGGAAAAACATCCCACTCATCACTCGCACAATAAAGCCGTCATGTCAGAGCTCAGCTTCACTCCGGTCCCATTCCCAGCCCGCTGTGCATGCGGGACAGAGCACTGAGGATCCATCCCGACCGATTCTCCTCCCCGTGCCGGTGCCAAAGGGAAGGCAAGGGAAGAGGGGAGTGCCCCGGGCAGGGACTCACTGCGTTGATGGCCAGGTTGCCGCGGGTGTTGGCGGGGGTGACGCCGTAGAGGATCCCGGCGCCGGCGATGGCCCCGACCAGCTGGGCCACAACGTAGAGCAGCGTGCGGAGCAGGGAGATCTGGTTGCCTACGAAGAAGGCGATGGTCACGGCGGGGTTGATGTGGGCGCCGCTGATGTGGCCGAAGGCCTGCACCAAGGTGCCGATGGCCAGCCCGAAGGCCAGCGCGATCTGCAGGATGCTGGGCAGCGCTGACGGCCACTTCAGCGCCGAGCCCAGCCCGATGAAGACGAAGATGAGCGTGCAGAGGAACTCCACAAAGACGGCTCGAGCAAAGGCCAGGGTTAGTATTTCCTTCTTCATGGTGGGGGCAGGTGGAGGGCAGCCAGGGAGGAAGAAAGTTTAGGATTGCTGTGTGCCCGGGCTCTGGTGTGTGCAGCCGGGTGTAGGGCCATACCTATCTATATATGCAAGAGCAGCAGGAGCTGTGTTACAGGGTGGTGGGTGGAGCCAGGGGATTAGCCAGTCCTCCCAAATTACCATGTGAACATGCAAAAGTTTCCACCTGAAAATGTCTTCAGAGCCTCTTGGTGAACCTGTGACTCAGATATTGGTGGTATTTCTCTCCTTTCCCTCTGCAAACAAAGAGCCCCTATAGGGTGTCTCTGTGGTCGTTAAATAACGAGGTTGCATAACGAGGCTGAGCTCCCTCCTCTGCTTTTGGCTTTTCCTGCCTCTCGCCAGGTCCTGGGTGTTTCACTAGCACAGGTGTAGTTAATCTTTGCTCCCTCCCTTCCGTCCCTGTGCTTGCACACTCCTCCTGCTGGAAAACCCTTGTTGGGCTGGAGGAGCTCTGCTAGGGTTGGGCTCCGTGTGTGTTCAATTTCCATGGAACCTTGAAATGTAAAGGAAAATCAAACACCTGGAGCTTCTCCCAGGCTGTCAAGAGAGCTCAGCTCCAGGAAATAAGTGGTTTGCAGTTGTCCAGGGAGCAGGGGAGGGTTTGGGGGAATCTTTGTCCATCTGGGGAGCTGTAGATGAGCCGGAGCTGCTGGAGGTGTGCAGATGGAGAAATAGCATGGAGAGGGCTCCTGGTGCAGAGCCTGGCTGGGAGCCTCTGCTCTCTTTCCTTTCTGCTGCTCCTTCCAGAGCACTGGAACAAGTGCTGGAGTTGGGGCGTGCAGTTGGGAATGGTGTCTCCTCCCCGTCACCCTGTGCCCTTTCCTTTTCTTTCTGCCCTTCCAGCTCTTGCTCAATGAGCAATGATTTTGCTCCTGGGAATGCCAGCACCCAGGCACAGGCTCTGCATGGACACAGGCTGTGTTTACACATCCCCTTTCATGTTCCTGGGGCGCTGCCCTCCATCCCAAACCAATACATTGGCAGATGCTTGGCTGGCAGGGAGGGGCAGGGGAGGCTCTCAGGGCTGTGCACATGGATCTGGTGGAAAAGGTCTCAGGTAACACTTAACAAAGAATTCTTGGTTCTCTCATAGCCCTCGAAGCCTTGTGCCAGGATATTTTTTTTTAGATGGCTTTGGGTGCCAGATCTGCTCTCCTTGCTCGGTTGATCCACTTTTCCTTTCCCAAATGATGCCCAGGCTGGTTTTATCCCTGGCTGCCAGGTCCCTCTGCAGGGGCAGCCACACTGCAGCACTCAGGGAGCAAAGCTCTGCGTTGGTAAAAGTTGTAAACCAATTGGACATGGGTAAAATCCTCCCTAAATCCAAAAAGTTGGATTCACTGCTGCCTTCTGATGAAGCCTGGGGGGGTCAAACACCTGGAGGATTCCTGTCCAGAGCAAGGAGAAGGAACTTCTTGTCCAGGACTGGAAATAAATGAGCTTTTTTCTTCCTTTGTACCCAAAATCCTGAGCAAAACAGACCTGGAGGGCCTCGAGGGACTGAGGATCTGTTACAGCCTTAGTTCCTGATAATGATTTTCTCCTGGATCTGCTGATCCTGGGGCTGATTGCAGAGTCAAAGCCCAGATCTGTTATCCTCGAAACACCTGGTCCGTTGGCGTGTTTTGGTGAAAGTTTTGCAAGCTGGTATTTCAAGACACCCTGGCCGGATTCCAGGGTGGTAATTACTTGCCACTTCCCTTCAGCCCTGTCTGTGGCTCCAGCTGGATAAAATGATCCCTGTTCCCATCCTTCAAACCCTTCCTCGATGTCCCCATCCCTTGGTGGCAGCTGCATTTTGCTGAGTGTGCTCCTCCAGCACACTCCTCGCTTCGGCTGAAAGGCCAAAAAATTGCCCTTCCAGCCTCCCAAGCGTGGATAATAACAAGCAAAATCCTGCAGCTGACTAGGAGATATGATCACATAGGGCTGGGAATGACGGGGAAAACTTCCGGAAAACACACCATGCAAAGCCTCTGCTCCCGAGGCAGTTCGGGAACCTTTTCTAACTGGGGCATTCCTGCTTGCCTCCTCCGATGCCAGCCCTGGCACTTGGAAGGCTCCCTGTCCTCTGCGTGGCTCCATGCCACCCGAGGAGCTTGGCTGAACTGAAAGTGCTTTGATGTGTCAGGTTTAATGGAATTGGGCAAGGTGCTGCAGGCCTGGGGCAGGCCGGTGCTGACAGACGGACACCCACGTGCAGGGGTCACACACACCTCGCCTCACCCGCCCTGCAGGAGACAGCGCAGGAGGCTTTTGGCAACAAGGGCAGGTTTGGCTGCCTCCTTCCTCCTCCTCCTCCCTCCTCGCTGGCATCGGCAGACAAACAACACAACCAAAACCTGCCCCAATCTCCCACTCAGGAGAGGGACCCCAAAGTGGGGAGGGGGTGGGAGGGAGGCAGCTGCTGCCTCATCCTCACCTGGGGCTGCCTCGCCCAGGGAGGCTCTGTGTCACTGAGGCCACCCTGTGCCAGCCCCTGGCAGTCCCTGCTGTCACCCAGCTCGTTGTTGGAGCCTGTGTGGGGCTGTTGTGAATTTGCTGCTCTTAATTTGCTGCTGTTAATTTGCATTTCCTCGCTTTTTCTGGTGAGTTCAGCTCTGTGCTGCACCTTGGGGCCTGGCAGAGGCTGCTCCCAATTCAGGTTACAAACGCTGCTGAGCCAGGGTTTGGGATTTCCTCCTCACCTGGCTCTTACCTCAGCCAAGGACCTTAAAACTGGCCCAGTAATAGAGGCAGGAATAACAACAGTGACAGGATGTCCTGAGCAGGAGACACCAATTCTGCTGGGACTGGGATCAGAAACACACAATTAATTGAGCTGGAAAAGACCTCTGAGATCTTCAAGTCCAAGCCATGACCTAAAGTCATGAGCGGGGATTAGATGACCCAATGACCTTGGTTGGGATGACATCAGAAGAGAAAGTTTGGTTCAGTTTTTCAAGAGAAAAGGTGTTTCTTGCTGGCTCAGCTCCAGCATTTTGCAATGAGGAATTGATAAGGAAAAACTGAAATACCACAGAGCAGAAGCAGCAAACTTTGCCCTGGTGATCCTCAGTTCGAGGGCTGCAGGGAAGGGTTTTCTGCTGCTTTGGGATGCCCCTGTGCAGGTGTTTCAGATGGGGATTTCAAGGATCCCTCTTATCTGACCGCCATCTGCTGCCCTGTCTTTGAAGCTGAGTGATGACACCGCTGGCCTGGGGCTGGCGGCGTTTCCACTTTCTCCTGCCCTGCAGCAACGAGGCTTTGCCTTCCTTTAGTGCTGCCTTCAGAGCCAGAACGCTGTGACACTGAGCTCTGGGGCTGTCCCCACGTCCCCTGCTGCTGTCCCTGCCCCTGCAGCCCCCTGTGGCTGCCAGGGGTGGCAGTGACCTGCTAACCCCTGCTCTGGATGCCACCTGAACGCTCTTTAATGCTGACTGGTGGCAAAGCTTAATGACAGCTCTGCTCTTTGCTCAGTAACTCCTGCTGCTCAGGGCAGCTCTGGGGCTGCTCTGGCCCCCCAGGAGTTCATTTGCATTGAAACCTCTGTTAAATTCTCCCATGGGATAATGAGTGTCAGGGAAAGCAAAGCCCGGTTGGAAAATCAAACCACACAGCGGGAAAGGTGGGATGAACCCCTGGTGTCCTGATTTTCAGGTCCAGCCCTTTCCAGCAAAGCCACCAGCACCAGAGACATCCCAAGGCCCCCTTCTGCTCACTTGGAATTCCTTTGGGCCGTTTGTTGTGTCCTCAGGAATCAGAGCTGGGGGGAGTGGTGTTTTTCCTCTGTAAAGCTGTTTGCTGTGGAAATGTCTTCACCCGTGCAGTCCTTCCTTGGTTTACAAGGAGCACACCCTGGAATAAATGGGAAGGATGTGGGGAGATGTTCCTGGGAAGGTGATTTTCCCCCTCCCCTTGGCACTGCCATCCCACCTGGCCTGGAGGAGCTGCTGCTGCACAAAGACAGAGGGGCCTGAAATCAGAACCTGGCTCTGAATTACCTGATATAAATGAATCACCTAATTAAAGTAACAAGTTCTTGATATCACTGCAGGAATCTGGAAACTCCTAAAAACATTCTGGGGGATGAGAGCTGGACAGGACCCAGAGACCCCTGAGCCTGGAGTGAGCCCCCCAGAGGGGGGGTTCTGCCCCTGTGCCCAGGTGAGACCCCACCTGCAGAGCTGCCCCTGCCCCGGGTCCTGCACAGGAGGATGAGGAGCTGCTGGAGAGAGCCCAGAGGAGGCCACGGAGCTGCTCAGGGCTGGAGCCCCTCTGGAGCCAGGCTGGGAGAGCTGGGGGTGCTCACCCCACTGCAGGGAGAGCTCAAAGCCCCTGCAGGGCCTGAGGGGCTCCAGGAGAGCTGGAGAGGGGCTGGGGACAGGGATGGAGGGACAGGACACAGGGAATGGCTCCCAGTGCAGAGGGCAGGGCTGGGTGGGAGATTGGGAAGGAATTCTGGCTGTGAGACTGCAGAGGCCCTGCAATGGTTTTCCCAGAGCAGCTGTGGCTGCCCTGGATCCCTGGCAGTGCCCAAGGCCAGGCTGGACAGGGCTTGGAGCAGCCTGGGACAGTGGGAGATGTCCCTGCCCATGGCAGGGGTTTGGGACAGGATGAACTTTAAGGTTCCTTCCCACTCAAACCCTCCCAAGGTTCTATGAAAAGCCAAGATTTTCACACAATCCCCTGGCTCTGAGTTTTCTGCCCAAGGTTTCACAGTAGAAAACTGGGGACAGTACATGGACTACTGGGAAATGGGGAAATCAATTTTCCCCTCCATTCTGCCACTGAAACTCAGAGCAAATGCACCCAGGAATTTCTCAGCTTTAAAAATCTTCACTGGGGAGTTCAAGAGACCCATGCTGGGAAAATCCCTTGTGCCATCAGATATAAAGCTGAAGGTGCTTGCACTGAATGGTGTCTGGAAATGTGGATTTTTTCTTTTGGTTGTTTGGATTCCTGGGAAGTTTGGATACAAATTGAAGCAGAGCCTCCATTCTCTCCAGCAGATCCTTTGGCAGAGCCCTGGGAGTAGAAGAGTTTTGGGATGTTTGGCTTCCCCCTGGAGCACCAGCACTTCTGGGATGGTCTGTGGTCATTTCCTACACCTGGCCCTGCCTCCTCCTCTTGCCCTCCTGGCTCCTCAAGGAAAACATGCTTGGGAAATATTTCTCCATCTACAAATAGATCCATAAAAATAATGATGTAAAATAATGATATACCTGATCCCAGGTAGGTCATGGCACTGCAGGGAAGCGACTGCTGGAGGCTCACACAGCCTCTGGGATTGGGCTGGGAAGATTTGGGAAGGTCAGGCCAAGAAATGCCAAGCAGAGAACTCAGCTGTGCCCCCCTCGAGGTGACCCTGGGCTGATCTCTGTCCTTCCTGTCCCACAGGTATGACCAGGGGCTGAAGGGGTTTGTCCTGTGCTGGGATTTCCAAGGTACAGGTGGGCCTGGGCTTCTCCAGGCCATGATTTTACTTCCATGTTTTCCCAATCATTTTCCCACATGATACAGAAACCACTCAGGCACTGGGATCAAGGTCGGTGCTCCCAGGTTCTCCCAGATTCCTCGAGCAGGGGTTTGGATGCTCCCAGGTCCCTACAGCAGGTAAGGGATCAGTGGGTGGGTGTGGCAATGCTCCATCCTGGAGCTGGAATGGGCAAAGGAGGGAATTCCTTGGGATTAACTACAAATTGTGGCCAAAGTTGTGAGGAGCAGGACCAGGGCACAGCCCCTGGGCTGGGCTCTGCTGAGACCCCTCAAATCCTGGGGTCCCCTTGGGCCCCACTGCCAGGAGAGACCCTGAGGGGCTGGAGCGAGTCCAGGGCTGGGAATGGAGCTGGGGAAGGGCTGGAGAACTCCTGAGGGACCTGGGCAGGGCTGAGCCCGGAGAAAAGGAGGCTCAGGAGAGGACCCTGGGGCTCTGCACAACTCCCTGACATGAGGGTTCAGAGGGGGGGTCGAGCTCTGCTCCCAGGGAACAGCAGGACAAGGGAAGTGGCCTCAGGCTGTGCCAGGGGAGGTTTAGTCGGATATTGGGGGAAATTTCCTCAATGGAAAGGGTTTTCCAGACCAGGAACAGCTGCTCAGGGCAGGGGTTGGGTCCCATCCCTGCGGGGATTTCAAAGTTGTGACACCTGGGGACATGGTCAGGGGTGGCCTTGGCAGTGCTGGGGAAATGCTTGGGTTGGATCATCCCCAAGACATTTTCCAACCAAAACAATTCCATGGTTCTAGGAACATGGCAGCCAAGCATCAAGGACAAGGAAGGGATGTGGTGCAGGCTGTGCCAGGGGAGGTTTAGTCGGATATTGGGGGAAATTTCCTGAATGGAAAGGGTTTTCCAGCTGCTCAGGGCAGGGGTGGGGTCCCATCCCTGGAGGGATTACAAAGCTGTGACACCCGGGGGCATGGTCAGGGGTGGGGAAATGCTTGGGCTGGATGATCTCCAAGGCATTTTCCAACCAAAAGAATTCCACGGCTCCAGGAACATGGCGGCCAAGCAGCAAGGACAAGGACAGGGATGTGGGGGTGTGCAAAATGCTCTGGAATTTTTGCAGCTCTGCAGAAGGATCAGCCCAAAGCTGAGGCACCCCTGACCCCAAGGTGGGAGAAGGGGAAAACCTCATGATCTTGGGGGTGGAAGGACACGGGAATGCTTCAAATCCTGGCTCTGACATCCAGGTGCTGCCAGTTTAGGGAGGATTGTGGTCAATCCGTGGCAGCTCCAGGTTCCTGGTCCTGCCCTCCAATTCCAGCTCCCCCTGGTGCAATCTGGAATGTCTGGGTGGTTTCCTGACAGGGCAAGTTTAGGAAGTGACCCAGTTCCACAGGGAAGGTGAATTTGTATTCTCAGGAAGACTGGGGCTGCTTCAGCCCCCTGGCTGAGGGGTTTGGGGTCTAGGAGGTGACTTTATAGCTATTATTTACCATAAATGTGTCAGTACTTTCTATAAATGTGTCAGTATTTGATCCCTGTGTCCGAATTCAGGTGGTAAAAGGGAATTTAAAGCACTTAATGGGAAAGAGGAGAGCCATTACCAGACATTAAACCTCAGGTTCATGCCCTGTGAGATTTAAACATTGTCAGGGTAAATAATAAATGAAATGCTTCGATCTGGAGAAGAGATATTGAACGCACCAACATTAATTTAAATAAATAACTGAATTCAACCGTGGCTTTTTCTGCAGCAGAACATGCTCAGGGTGACTTCTGGAAAAGTCCGCTGGGATTTTCCTGCACACATACATGGATTAATTTTCCTTTAAAAAAGCATCAAAAACCCCATATGACTTTTAAAAGTGAGCGTTTGATAACAGAAATACAATTTGACACTGGGATTGATTTATTGCCATTGCTGAGAACAGAGGGAATTTTTGAGAAGCCTCTTCTGAGCTAAAATTCAAATTCACCATCAAGGAGCAAAGGGAAGCAGAATCCCTGGTTTTGGGTGGATCAAACCAGGGCTGGAAGTGCTGCCTTGGCAAAGCCCTCTGCGGGTATTTGCATGGATTGGCTGTGGATAAACACCAGGTCTGGGCCAGATCAAAGCTGGGCTCCCTCCTCACCCCTCCAGCAACAGCCACTCCAACATCTGAGGAAGAGCACGGGGAGGAAGGCAAGGATGGATCTGATGGGAGGAGGGGATGGTGCCAGTGGAGCAGAGTGAAGAGCATCCTCTGGTGAGGGGTTCCCTGTCGGAACAGGGGGAGGGAAATGATCCAGAATGATCCATAAATCACCCCTATGATTTGGAATTGGGCCCAGTCTCACTGAATATTCCCATAACACCTTTTCCAGAGAAATCCTGGTGGGGCTGACACTGGTGGGGCAATGCTGGACACACTGCTGGGATCCACTCTGGGAATGGAGAACTTGGGGCAGAGCAAGTGAAATGGGGTTAAATCAATGGCTGAAAGAGCAAAGTTCACCCAAGACCAACCCAAATTCCTTGGCCAGGCTGAGGACGATGACCAGGTCCTGAGAGGGCAGAGGGAAGGTGTGGGAGGGGTTTGGAGGGTCTGGAGTGATGCAGCCATGAAAAAGGGCTGTGAGAAGCAAGTGATGGAGATGAGAAGGAATTCCTCCCTGTGAAGGTGGGGAGGCCCTGGAATGGATTTCCCAGAGCAGCTGTGGTTGCCCCTGGATCCCTGGAAGTGTCCACAGTCAGGTTGGACGGGGCTTGGAGCAGCCTGGGATAGTGGGAGGTGTCCCTGCCCACAGCAGGGGTGGGACTGGGTGGGGTTTGAGGTCCCTTCCCATCCAACCCATTCCATGATTCTGGTTCTTCACACCTGGAACACGCTGGCTGTGAAATCGTTCCAGGTGATCTGAGCGTCCAAGGGGAACAGGACCAGATGAAAGAAGGGAAAATCAGGGAGAGAGAGGAAGGACAACCCTGGCCCAACAATAAGGTGGGTATGAGTTTGGGCTGTAACCCGGGTTTGTTGTTTCACAGGAGGGAGAATTTGCAAGTGCTCCCCAGTGGGGCCTGCAGGGACTCATGGCCACGCTTCCAGTCCCATCTTCCCAGGAAAGCCCCTGTGGGAGCACCTCTGTGCCCCGTGGCGGGTGGGAAATGGCATTTTGGTCCCTTTCACAGCAGAACCTGTCATGTGTGGGACTCATGGCTCAGAGTGAGCGCGCCTGCTCCTGCTCCTGCTGCTGCTCCTGCTCCTGCTCCTGCTCCTGCTCCTGTGTGTGAGCCAAGAGCCCAGCAGGGACCCGAGACGGGAGCAGAGCGCAGCAGCAATGAGGCATCGGGTGGCAACCTCCACACCCAGGGTAATGAACACTCTTCAGGCTCCTTGGAGCTCTCCGGGAGGGAACAGCCTGGGCCAAGCTCTGTGTCCTGCGAGGGGGACGTGGAAGAGGGCATCCTGGGGAGATCCCTCGTTCCTGCGGGGTTGGGATTTACTGGCTCTCCCCCAGATCAGAACCCCCCGGGCATGGGGGGAGCTGGGGACATGAGGTGGGTGGGACCAGCGCACATCTCCCCGGGAGAGGAGTCAACTTCAGCGCCCCAGGAGAAACGAAGGGAGAGAGGGGAGAGGTGAGATGCTCCTCTGGACGAGCACTAAAACCGTGCCAGAGGTTTCCAGCTCCTCTCTCGGCCCAGGGAGAGGTTTGGCTACACCTTCTCAGACATCCCCCTGGGCAGGGTCTGGGGGGAGTGCAGCTCCACGGACTGGCGCCGCCGCGCCTCGCGCTCGGCCCAGTCCTGCTCGGGCTCGCAGCCCTTGAGGATGGCCAAGCGCTCCGAGAGGGTTTTGGCCTGAGGGAACAGCACGTAGTTGTAGAGGATGGAAGCTGCTGCAGCCCCGATCAGGGGGCCCACCCAGAACACCTGGAGAGGAGAGAAAAGTGGGGTGAGCAAAACCCAGCCTGGCGCTGGAGGGTGGGGAGGAACTCTGAGGGGCATTCCAGGGGCTTGTGTTCCTTCCTGGGAGCAAAACACAAAATCAGCTCTGCTTTGGCCATCGCTGGGGATCTGAGCTCCCCTCCAGTGCCAGGATATTCCCAACCATCCTCTTCCACCATTCCCCCTCTGCTCAGACTCTGCATCAATGACAGGCCCATTGTGAACGTGCTGAGTGATGTGGCATCATCTGGAGGAGCATTTTCCTACCCACTCATGGATTGCTGTGGGAGGAGGAGCAGGAGGAGGAGGAAGAGGAGGAGGAGGAGGTGGAGGCACCAGCCTGGGCCAGACACTTTGGAAACATCAGGAGCCACCACAGCTCTGCCTCCAGCCAGGCTCTTTATAGACGAAAACAATAAAAGCATGGAATCTCCTTAGCTGGAAAGGACCCACAAGGATCCTGAAAATTCTCCCTGGACATGCTCAGGACAACCACCACCAACCCCACTGTGCCTGAGAGCATTGCTGAAATGCTCCTGGAGCTCTGGCAGGCTCAGAGCCATGGCCATTCCCTGGGGAGCCAGGGAGTGTTCCCAAAGTGCACCTAGATCCAGGAACCAGGAAAGTTCCCCAGGACTGGCAAGAGCTGCGCTCTCCATTGGTTTTGTTCCCTGTGCCAAGTCATGTCAACAGACCTCACACCCTGATCCTGTTGCAATGCTCCCACTTTGGAGTTTGGAAAAGCCAATTAAGCACCCAGCAGCCCCACCTCCTTCTCCTAATCTCTCCATCTCTCCTCCAGCTGGGAGCTGGCATGGAAATGCCCGGAATTTGTCTGGCTTGGTGAGTTTCGAGGAATATTGGCAGTGAGGGGGCCTCATCCAACCCAACCCCCGGAGCCGAGTTCTCACCCAGTGGTCGCTGAAGTCTCCCACGACGACAGCGGGGGCGAAGGACCTGGCGGGATTCATGGAGCAGCCGGTGTAACGGATCTGCCGGGAACACCACGGCCTCTGTCAGCACTGAGCCCTTCTATCCCATTTTTAAAATGTTGGGGTGTCATTAGGGTGACAGCTGAGCTGCTGCTTCACCCTTCAGCATTCCTGTTCCAGGAAAAGGGATCCCAGGAGCTGCCTCCACCTGAGTCAGCACTGTGAGGTGTCTGAGCTTGTGTGTCCCAGTGTTGCTGTGCTGCAGCCCCAGGACCTGCAGGGATGAGCTCCCAGTCCTGCAGAAAATTCCCTCTCGTGCCTCTGAGGACAGGAGAGGAATGGTCCCACGGACACAGGGGCTCGTGGAGTGCTGAGGATGGGAGGTGTGGTGTGACCAACAGCGTTCTCCTGCGTGCACTGGGGTGGGGGCTGCTTTGGGCCGTGACCCAGGTGGGATTTCCCTGAGTGTCCATCCCAAACACTTCCCAGGCTCATCCTGCACTTGGGAGCCCCAGCGGCGAACGTCTTCACTCCAGGAGAGATCCCACAGATCCCTGGAACTCCCAGTGGGACTCAAGGAGAGGCAGGGTCCAGAAAATCAAGTTTTTAATGCCAAATAAAGGCTGAGCTCAGGCCACAGCTCTCCCATGTCTTCAGTGGGATTTTTCCCTCTCTCTACTGGAAAACCATGGGTTACACATTCCCTGCCAAGCCTGGAGATGCAGCCAAACCAACTTGGGGCATAAACAAAAAAAGAACCCCAAAAGCACCGAGTTTTGGCCCATCCACTCACCCCGAGGAGGTGCCCCACGGCCACAGAGAGGCCAATGGAGAGGGCAGGGGAGCCCAGGTTGTCCTCACGCCGCTCGTCTGTGGAAGCAAAGACGCACAGGACCAGCTGGAAGGTGAGGAACAGCTCCACCGTCACCGCCTGCCCCGTCGTGGTCTCATTGTTCAGCTGGAATGGGAGGAAAAACATGTTCCAAGGCCAGGTTCTGTGAGTATGGAGGTATGGAGGAAATATGGAGGAGGAATCCAAAATCAGGGGGGGACAAAGGAGACAGGGGAGATTTTTGGCACCAGTAAGAAAAATCTTCCAAGGTAGAAGAAGTGGCTCAATGGGAAATGCTTGATTGACCTCTCAGGAAATTTTATTGGCAATTTTTTGGTATTTTTCCTTTTTTTCTTTTATTTTTTTTTCTTTTCCTCCTACTCAAAATGCCTTTTGGAAAAGTTTGCAAGTTGCATTTTGAAGACATCGAAAATAAATATTTTGGCATGAAAAAAAAGAAAAAAAATTTTCTTTCCACACTTTTTTGACTCAGAGAATTTGTCAGGTGTGATCTGGAGCTGATCCTGGTGGTAACCCATCTCCTACTCAGTCCCTTCTTTCCTTCTCCCCTCCCAAATCTAATCCCAGGCAATCCCAGGAAGGTCCTGAGTGACCTTCTGCCCAAGCTCCGGAGTCAGATGTTCTTTATTCTCCCCAGTATTTCCCTCCCTTTTTACAGGGATAATCTGTGCGGGCAGCCACACCATGAACAGCTCACAGGGGAAAAAAGCCTTCTCAAAATCCCCAGTTCCCACTTTGAGCTGTAAACCAACAAAGCTGAGCAGTCTGAGTCTCCCTTAAACCTCCCGCTTTTATTACCATCAGTCACTGCCAGTCTAAATCCCCTCATTCACATTAAACCACAAAAAACTCCCTCTTTTTAACCCTCTTAATCACTCTGGCAGTGCTGCTGAGTCCTGGCAGTGCCTCCCTGCCAGGGGAAAGGCAATTTCCATGTGCTGCTTCCCAGCCCAGCTCCCTGCTCCTCCCTGGCTCCCTTGGGGTTGGGTGATGCTGATCCTGGCAGGTGCCTGTGCCCCCCTGGGAGGGGACAGTGAATCCCTGGGTTTCATTTCCTTTTCCCCCTCCTGTGGGGAAGGGGCTGTTGGAGGCCAGGATGCCACTGGAGAATCCCCCATGGGCATCCTAAGCTTCCCTGGCTTTATTTTTTCCCTGTCTGAAACCAGCCTGAGATCCTTGTGAAGCTGGAGGGAATCCGTGTGTTGGGTTTTGGGATGAACCAGCTGGATCTGGTGTGATCATCCCGTCACAGTGGGAGGCAATGAGCTGAACCTAAGGAAAGTCTGGGATTTTGACCCAAATCTCTCTCCCAAATCCCAACTTTGACCCAAATCTCTCTCCAAATCTCTCCCCCACCACTTCAGCAACCTGGGAATCGTGGCTTGGCCAAAGCAGAGCCAGGAAAAGGCTGCCTGTGCCCACACCTGAGGGGAACTTGGGATGAGCCTGGGACAAGAGGGATGGAGAGGGGGTGTTTTGGATGTGTCCTTCCTTAAACCCCTGGGACCCCCAGAATCCAAATCCTCTGAGTACAGTCCTGGGGAAAAATGAGATGGTTGTGACTCCAAGGGACGAGTCTGTGGCTGGCTGGATCCTTCCTCTGGCTTTAGCCCCAAAAACAGGGGACATTTTTGGCACCAATATGAAAAGAGCAAAAATTTCCCAGGTGGAAGAAGTGGCTCAATGGGAAATAGTTGATGGACCTCAGGAAATTGTAGCCATAAAATCAGAGGAGGAGGAAGGTGAGTCCTGCCTTCATCGCTGGCCCTGGCAGGACCCTTGGAGCAGCAGGGTCCAGCAGGTGCTGGGCTGTGACATTCAGAGGCTTCCTCACTGGGAGTTCTGGGAATTTTTGGGAATCTTGGGAATTCTGGGATCCCTGGCAGGAGGTTTTGGGGAGCTGAGGGGGTTTTTAGGGATTTTTGGGTGGATTTGGGATGAAATTACCACAGAATTCCCCTGATTTTGGGCCTCTCCTGGTTCTCTGAGGAAAATCCCATGGGAATCTTGGGGAATCATGGGAATTTTTGGGAATTCTGGGATCCCCAGATGGAGGTTTTGGAGCAGCTGAGGGGGCTTCTAGGGATTTTTTGGGTGGATTTGGGATGAAACTCCCATGGAGTTCCTCTGATTTTGGGCCTCTCTTGGTTCTCTGAGGAAAATCCCAGTGGAAATTTTGGGGAATCCCTGGAATTTTTGGAAATTCTGGGAATTCTGGGATCCCCAGCTGGAGGTTTTGGAGCAGCTGAGGGGGCTTCTAGGGATTTTTTGGGTGGATTTGGGATGAAACTCCCATGGAATTCCTCTGATTTTGGGCTTCTCTTGGTTCTCTAAGGAAAATCCCATGGGAATCTTGGGGAATCATGGGAATATTGGGGAATTCTGGGATCCCCAGCTGGAGGTCTTGGGCCAGCTGAGGGGGTTTTTCCTGCCACCCCTCAGTCTCCCCAGCCCCTGCCAGGCTCCCCTCAGCCTGCCAGCCCGCGCTGTGCCGCCGCCTCACCTTGTTGAGGGCCAGGCCCTGGCGGGCGCTGGCCGGGGTGACCTCGTGCAGGATGGCAGCGCCCACCACGCCGCCCAGCAGCTGTGCCACCACGTAGAAGAGGGCACGGAGCAGGGACAGCTGCGAGCCCAGCAGGCAGCCCAGGGTCACGGCGGGGTTGATGTGGGCGCCGCTGACGTGGCCCAGCGCCTGCACCAGCGTCCCGATGGCCAGGCCGAAGGCCAGCGCGATCTGCAGCGTGCTGGGGGCCGGCGCCGAGGGCCAGTTCAGGGCCGAGCCCAGGCCGAAGAGGACGAAGACCAGAGTGGCCAGGAATTCCGCAAGGACGGCCCTGGTGAAGGCGATGGAGCGCAGTTCCCACATCATGGATGCTCCCCGGAACGATCCTGCCCGCAGCGTCCTCAGTGCCACCTCCTGCTGTGTCCCTGAGGGTGACCTGGGATGACATTTATATACCCGGAGGTGGGGGGGGCACAGGATCAGCTGCTGAAGGGGATGGGATCACGGTCCCGGGAAATCTGATGCTTTTTTCCTGCTGTGTTCCAGCTGAGGGAACATCAGATCCTGCCCCTTCTATTAGAGCCGGGGAATGCAGCGCTCGCCGCCCTGGGGAGGTCGTAGATCAGCCTCCAGCAGTGCTGGAAGGACTGCTCCCCTTCTCCTGGGCTTCCTTACCTGGGATCAATCCCCAGAGCTGCTCTTGCAGCTGGACCTGGGAGCATGGAGAGGGCAGGAAGCTGGGGGGGGGTCCGTGGAGCTGGAGTTGAGGTCGGGTTGTGTTGAAAATCAGGCTGTGGGCTGTGATTTAACAACCAGGAAAATCCAGGAGCATGGAGGGATTCCTGGGGGTGTTCTGTGCAGGGCTAGGAGTTGGATTCAATGATCCTTGAGGGTCTCTTCCAACCGAGGATGTTCCATGATTCCATGAAGAGTGAGTGCGGGGGAGGCACAAAAGGGATTCACTACAGCTCAGCTACCCAGAGCACCAGAATTTTGCAGCCCAGGCACAGATTTCCTACCCAGAAAATTGGGAACCAATCTCAGTGAAGACTGTCAGAAATTCCCATGTGAAAATGTGACCCCAGGGCTGGAGCACCAACTGTACCCTGATTATGGCCATTTTGGTCAACTCTGCTCTTCATAAACATCCTTTCAGTTCTCGGTGTCAATCCCAGAGTGAGAATTTCTTCTCTGGGGTTTGGTTCTTCCCATCTGCTCCTTGCTAGAAAGTTTATTTTCCCTTTTCTCCATTTCCCATTCCTGAGGGATGTCTGCAAAACCTTTTCCTCACCTCGTCACTGGGGTTGGTGGCTTTACTGGAGATTGAGGAGCTGGTTTTTCCTCCCCAGAGCCGGCTCTGAGGTGGGATCATTTTATCCCAGAGGGATGCAGAGCAGCAGGACCAAGTGTCCATGTTTGGGCTCTAACAGAGTCTCTTGCTCTACAATAAACGGAGTATTTTTCCCTTCCAGAGGAGCTATGCAAGTGCCATGGGACTGGTGGCCAATGTTCCTTATTGCTGGGATTATATCATGGGATGATGGGGTATCTCAGGCTGGAAGGGACCCACAGGGGTTTGTGAAGGTTCTTTTCTCCATGACAGGTAGGAACAGAACTCCAGGAGGTGCAGAGAATGGATGTAGGTCCCTTCCAATGGAACTGTTCTTCTTGTGTTCCCCCTTCCCCCTTCTTATCTCTCTTTCTTCCTCCTCCTCTTTCCCCTTCCCCTTTGCTTTCTCCTTCTCCCTTTTTTTCCCTTCCCCCTTTTTTCCCCCTTCCTCCATCCCCTTTTCCCTTCTCTTTCCCCCCTCCCCTTTCCTCTCCCTCTCCCTTTTCTTCCCTCTAAAAAAAGAGAGAATATATATTTTTTGGGAACATCACTCTTAACAAGTGAGGGACTGTGGGAGAAACAAGTCCAGCCCATGGCTGAGTCTGAACAAGATGGGAACAAGGTCCAATAAAACCTTTTTCTCTGAAAATCCTCCCTTGGACTGTGTCCCGCCCCAGCATCTCTCCAGCCAGAGCTCTTCCATCAGTGGAGTCAGTCTCGTAAAACAGGTTTGGAGGCTAAAGGGATTTGGGTGCTGCTGAGCCTCAGGATCATAGTCCTGGCCAGGCTCGTGCTCCACATGCCTGGCACAGGGCTCAGCCCTACTCAGGGCTGGAGTTACTCAGGGCTGCAATTACTGCAGGGAGGATGGAGAGCAAATCTGGGTAATTACTGGAGATCATACCCTGCCTGATTAGTGGTTACTCCTGGGGAGCGTGGGGATGTCTCAGTACTCAGGACTAATTAAAAGGAGGGAGAAGTCAGCAGGATTAGTTCTGAGCCACTTAGAAGTCCAACCCCATGGTCCTGACTTTTGTCTGGAGATGCAAAACTCATTGCAGCTCATTTGTACTGAGCTTGGAGATGCTGGTGCTGAAATTGGAGACGTTTGTTTTGAGCTTGGAGCAGTCTGTGCCATGGCTGGGGGGTTCCTCTGGTGCTGGACTGTGGGGAAAGGGTCAGAGCTGTATTTTGAGACTGGCTGTCGTGGTGTCCATGGCATTTGCTGGGAGATGGTGTTTTCCAGCAAGAACGGCCCATCCCAGCTTTCCCCAGAGACCCCCAGCACTGTAATTCCACTGGTTTTACAGAGGAATCCATCCACAGCACAAAACCAGACCCTGCTGACTCCAGGCACTGAGCCAGTGGCAGAGCCAAGGTTTCCTGGCAGTGCCATGGTTGGGCATTGCCCCGGAAAAATGGGAGATCCCACAAGCTGAAGGGCTGGGAATGGGCTGTTGAATCTGTGCTTGTGTCTAGGAGGGGGTCCTGGAGCTGCTGGAGATGATGGAAATGTGGCTTTCCACCTCACCCCAGGTGTGCTGCTGCTTTGGGAGCAGCCAGGAGCATTCCAGCCCTGCAGGGCGTCCAACGAGTTTGGGAAAGTGCATTATTTTACCTGTCAACCCCAGCCCCTGGAGTGTGACGGTGTTATCAGCCCTCCCTGGGACCAAGTGCAAATTTAATGATCTTGAGGAGCGGGTTGGCATCTGCAGGAAGTTGGAACCCCTGTGGGTGCCTCATGTTGGAGCCCTTTGTTGGTGCCTCACGCTGGTGTCCTGTGTTGGAGCCCCACGTTGATGTCTCACGTTTGGAACACCATGTTGATGTCCTGTGCCTCACGTTTGAACCCTGTGTTGGTGTCTCATCTTCATGTCCTGTGTTTGGAATCTGATTTTGGTGTCCTGTGTTGGAGCCCCATGTTTGGAACTCTGTATTTGTGCCCTGTATTGGTGCCCTGTGTTGGTGCTCATGTTTGGACCCTGTATTGGTGCCCTGTGTTGGTGCCCTGTATTTGGAACCTTGTGTTAGTGCCTGTGTTCCAGCCCATGGATCCCCTGTGTTCATGTCCCATGCTGGAACTCCATGCTGGAACCTCATGTTTGGAACCCCTTGATGGTGCCCTGTGTGGATTCCCTGAGCTGATGCCTCATGGTGGTGCCCGTGTTGGAACCCTGTGTTTGGAACCCTGGGCTGGTGTCCAGTGTTTGCAGCCTTGTGTTGATGCCCATGTTTGGAACTCCATCTTTGTAACGGTGTGTTGGTGCCCCGTGTTTAAACCCCATGTTGGTGCCTGTGTTGGTGCCTCAAGTTTGGAGCCCCATGTTGGTGTCTCATGTTAGAAACCCTGTGTTGGGAACCCCGTGTGGGTTCCCTGTATTTGGAACCCCATCTTGGTGCCCTGTGTTGGAACCCCATAATTGGAACTCCCATGGTGTTGGTGTCCCATGTTGCAGCCCCATGTTTGGAATCCTGTGCTGGTGCCTCCTGTTGGTGCCCCATCCTGGTGCCCAAAGTTTGGAGCTCCATGTTGGTGCCCCATGTTTGGAACCCTGTGTTGATGCCTTGTGTGGGTTTCCTGTGTTTGGAATCTGGTGTTGGTGCCCCATATTTGAACATTGTGTTTGGATCCCTGTGTTGGTGCCTCATATCTGAACCCTGTGTTTGGAACCTGGTGTTGATGCCCTGTGTGGGTTTCCTGTGTTTGGAATCTAGTGTTAGTGTCCCGTGTTTGAGCCCCATGTTCGTGTACATGTTTGGAACCCCGTGTTTGGAGCCCTGTGTGGGTTCCCTGTGTTTGGAATCTGGTGATGTCCATGTTTGAACACTGGGTTGGTAACCCGTGTTTGGAGCCCTGTGTTGGTGCTCTGTGTGGGTTTCCTGTGTTTGGAACCCCATATTGCTGTCCGTGTTTGGAACCCCATGTTTGGAACCCCGTGTTTGGAGTCCTCTATGAGTTCCCTGTGTTTGGAACCCCGTGTTTGAAACCCCATGTTTGGAGCCCACTGTCTGAGCCCCCTGTTTGAGCCCTGTGCTGGTGTTTGTGTTTGGAACCCCGTGTTTGAAACCCCATGTTTGGAGCCCACTGTCTGAGCCCCCTGTTTGAGCCCTGTGCTGGTGTTTGTGTTTGGAACCCCGTGTTTGAAGCCCTATGTTGGTGTCCATGTTTGAGCCCCGTCTGTATTTGGAGCCCTGTGTTTGGAGCCCACTGTCTGAGCCCCCCTGTTTGAGCCCCGTGCTGGTGTTTGTGTTTGAGCCCCGTGTTTGAGCCCTGTGCTGGTGTTTGTGTTTGGAACCCCCTGTTTGAGCCCCGTGTTTGAGCCCTGTGCTGGTGTTTGTGTTTGGAACCCCCTGTTTGAGCCCCGTGCTGGTGCAGCAGGGAAGGTCCCGGTGCCGCGTTTCGAAGAATGTTTTGAAGGTGCCGTATTTTGAAGAACGTTTTGCAAGGCAGGGAATGGTTCTTGCACAACCAGGAGCTCCTCCAGTGCTTTAGATGGCCCTGATATCTCTGCTCCCCTGGCTTCCAGGAAAGTATAAACATCCCGAGGTATCTCCATTCCATCTGAAATACCTCGGAGCCACAAAAACACTTATTGCATAAACAACACACAGTTTTCCTGCTTGGATCCAACCTGTCACAGGAGTCCCATGTGCCAGACCCTACTGGAAATCCCGTTTTTTGCTCTTTTCTGGGAGCAGGGAGCTCCTGCAGGCAACTCCCTCTCCTCTAAAACAGCCCAAGGGACAACCTGAACTGCTGCTTCCCAAGGCAGCAGAAGCCCTTTTCATTGGACACCAGAGAATCCACCACTGGAATAAGGCTTAGGAGAAAATTTTGCACAAATTGAATGGTTTTGGTTCTGCTGTTCCTTGAAATGCAAGATTTCTGTCCCACAAAGGAGGGCAAAACTGAAATGTGTAAAACTGGAATAGGTAAAACTGAAATCCTGTCTCAGAGAGTTCTCCAGGAGCGGCCCTTAAAAGAAAAGAAATAAATTCTTGTATTGTGGCAAATGCTGTTCTTGGTTCTCTGTTGGCTGCCTGGAAAAATGGATGTGCCTGAGCATTTGGTCCCATCCTGCTCCCCAGCAAAGTGTGGGGAATG